TATATAATATTTATTTTAAAAATGAGAACAGTATAGCCTAATAGAACATTAGCACAAACATATTTACAAGATATCAATAAAATGTTTCTTAATTAGGTGCCAAAAGTTGTCTGCTTCAACACATCCTGAAAGTGATAACCATAAATCTGATTCAAATCTATAAGTAGCAGTTTTCAGATGTAACAGAACTGTTCATCTTCTGCCTTTAAAGGGTTTAAAAGAATCCTCAGCACTGGCAAACCGTATCCACCCTAAAATTCCTCGCTGTAACTCAAGCGAGGGTTTTCTGCTCCTTCTCGTGTTATTTCCATCTTTGGCACGCAGTCTGCTCTAGGCACCTCAATGTGTTGTTGCTTTCCTGTTTTACATTTTTTTCTAAAGCCTAGGTCTGTAATTATCAGGACCGGACTCTGGTCATGCCAACTTGTGCTTGTTTGGAAAAATCCTCCATGAATGGGTTCGCCACACATCGATGTGACACAGAATGGTGATGGAAAGGCAAGGTGTGACAGATGTTTTACTGCAGTGGGTAGATCAGGTGTTCTCAATGGTATTATCAGGTCCTGTGACATATTTGTAGAACCAACATCTCCACCCAAAACAATAGCTAAAGGAAAAACTTGACAATTATTACAGGGAGGGGAAAAAATATTCACCTTAAAGCACTAAAGTTCTTAGTCAAAATGCTGGGTTAAAAAACAACAACAACAACAACAAACTAAAGCACCAAAACGGTTTCAATTAGTTTTAAGGCAGACCCCCGACCTCTCCATCCTCCTATTTGACACTACTGGTTCTCTCTAAGGTGGGGCAGAGGGCTCGGATGCGGTAACACACTGATATCACAATCAGCAGAGCAGACCGAATAATTCCTGCTACAAACAAAAACAAAACATCCGGAAAGTTGGAGCGCGCGTCTGTAGTTGCGCGCTGAGCAGCGGTTTAAAGTGCGTCAGCGCAGCCTCCAGAGACCGCAGTCTACTGATGGACACCGGCTTCCTTTGTAATAACTGTAGCATAAATAGAGAACTAGTCCCTGAAACAACATGTCCCAAACAAACCTATAAAACCGGCATTCTTAATGTTAAAAGTTCAAAAGACGTCTCTCTTTTTAATGTTACCATCTTTAAATGTGTTTACAAACAATACCGAAGTCAGACTCACTCAGGCTGACATGCATTGCACGCCCACACTCAAAACACTGCAGCAGTTCTCAAGACAGAAGCAGCCTCCTCAGACTACGACAGCAGTCAAACAAGTTTGAGACTCCAGAAAAACAGTTCTGTTTATATAACATATGGTAGTCCAAGTATATAAGGTGCTCTTTAAATTCATAAACGCACTGATGGGCGAGAAAAGCGTTCCGCACTTGCTCCGAGACTGCTGTCAGTCATCTGGATCTCCATAGTAACAGAAACATTCTTATCAGATTTTTGCTAACGGCCAAAAAGTGGCCAGGTTATAAATGACAGCGTCAAGTCGATCTAAAATGATTCGCAAGCAACTGTCATATGGATTGAATTTGCTAGTGTAAATGTTTGCACATATTTATACCATATTCTTGGCCCAGCAGGCAGAGGTCGACTGCTGCAAACATCCGCCCATCACGAACTCCAGCTCAGCTGCCCTACACAAACTTCACTGAAGTTGAATAACACAAGTGAAAGCAACGCGACAACCTAAAGAGCGTGTCACGCTCAGACAAGCGGAAAACTTCTGCTAGGACTCGGTGGAAACTGCCTTACCTCCGCTGCTTGTGGAAGTTTGCGTCGCTGTCTCCAGACGGCTCTTCGCTCTCCGCGGTCGAGCCGTACTCGTCGTCCTCTACGGTCACTTCTCCGATGCCAGGGGCTCCTCCGACGCTGTCCAGTGGCCGCTCCATAACGGCAGCATGTTTCTCCGTCTCGGTGTTTGGCGTCGGAGCCACTTTGAGTTCTCTCTCTGAGAGAAACTGACTTTTCAAAGTAACCGTTAACGTTCCCAAAACAAGCAGCAGCAGCAGGGATGTGCACACGTTTCCAAACTGAAACCCCCTTTCCATTGGGACAAGCGGCGCATGAGTAGTTAGGCAATCACATACCAAAATACAGTGTGAATTAAAAAAACTAGACTATAAAAGGCGTTTTACAATTAAATTCGTAAGCTATTAGATCTCTTTCTGTTGTCCTCCCTTAACGTAAACATGCACTCAACAGCACCATGTTATTCCCTTTATACATGACGTTGGCCGTGCCGTGGTAACGTCAAGCCCCGCCCTGTTTCCAAACGCCCATTGGCTGCGCATGGAAGCGAATCCCTGTATTGTGTGCTGATTGGTGCTAGCGCTTGTCAATCTTCACTGCTCGTCTACTAAGCAGATTTTGATTGCGTCCTACCGCTGTCTTTTACAGTGCGGTATGTTGACGTGGTCGGCTCTCCAGCCGCTTCATTCCATTGGGCGCTTTTCTTGTCACTCAGAAATATAAGCGGAAGGAAAGGCAGCCCAGAGCGGGTATGGCCGTCTTCTGAAGTATTTCATTGGCGAGACCGTAGAGTTTTAGCCAATAAAATAATAGTGTTAGCTCCAACATGTTTCATTGGTATGTTTACGGAAGCCGCGAAAGTATTCTAGTCAACCCATTGGTCTAACACGCTGTCAATCGTAATCATCGTTACTGTGATTTCTAACGGAGGGGCGTTGCTAATTCGTTCTGAGCGAAGCTTGATTGGGTAAAAAGTACAAGGATGGAAATACCGACGTGGCCGTTTGTTTGCGGATAAAAAGTGAGGTCATGTTTGACACAGTTTTATTTCCGGGACTTTTGGTATGAAGAGTGATGTGAGCATTGGTTGCGCAAATTGTAGAAAGTTCAGTATTCTCCTTTAATTTTATTCAATTTTACATTAAGTCACGCCAATTATAGCCTAACAACCATAACACTTCTAAAATAATACATTTACAAATAGTTTAGGCAACTTGAGTATTCCTGTTCACTTTTTGTAGTCGTGAAGGCTGGCCATTGCGTAATATATATGGCGCCCTCTTGTGGTTTGTTAAATAAGCATCTTTTATCCCATGTTTGACGTAACTGAGCCATACTAGTCAGATAAAATGTCAGATGCAAAATAACTAACACAATAGTTTATAGTTGATTGGTCCAGTTTTGATATTTATTTTCAATCTGGAGCACAATATTTGAAAACCTCAGTATCACAGTAAAATTGGTAAAGTAAAACACAAGCTGGTTTTTGAAGTAGTACCATACCTAAAAATCACAGTGACTTCTGTGAAGAGTTTTCATTAACAGAACTGAAAGATCAATAAAAGTACAGAAGATAAGGCTTTCAGCTGTGCCACCAACTCACTGCTGCTTTCATCCCTCGACAACACTGTGTTCGTGGCCACAGGCACATCAAAAAATTATACAAAAACAAAATCAATATCAAAAGCCGAGTGGCATTTCACAACTTCAAATAGTGTATTTTGTCCAGAGGCAGAATGCTCTGAAATGATTGATCACTGAACTAAACCAACCGCTGTGTGCTGGCAAAGGCCACTAGTTTCGCTTGAGGTTTCACATTGGAGCGTCTGAGGAAATCGGTTTCTGATTCAAAATGATATGAACCTACAGAAACTATACTAACGATGGGGTGTGATCGAGATTTTCTTAAAAGCTGCATGCATTGGTAAGGCTAGCAACTTTGCTTTGTGAAAATATACCTTTATGGAGGCACAGATGCAAGCCACAATATTCATACATTTTTACAGACAGCCATGTAACACAACATTCATGGCTACGTAAAGAAGCACAGAAGGCAAGCAGACACTGTAGATGTACAGTATGGACAGTCAACATAGACTCCAGCCCAACATAAGCAGAATTGTCCAGACAGAGGGTATGAGAGGAAAAACAGGAATATCTGAAAGGTCCGAGAATCTAATGTTGCATTGTTGTGTAAAAATCCATATTCCATGTGCACAGCATCATGAGAGGTACTGATCAGACGTCTGATGGTTTCTGTAACAGAAAATGTAGGGAAAGACTTGAGGTGTGCGTGCTGGTCTACTGCAAGAGCAGAGGAAGGATCTTCTTAGTTGATAGGATGGTCTCTAGTCTTGACACTCCCATCCTCCATACCGAAGTACACCCGCTCAGCCATCCCCACAAACAAACCAGTCTCAACCACACCTTTAAAAAAAAAAAGAAAAAAAAAGAGACAATTCATTTGTGCTTAGGAATACATACACTACAATTCAACAGTTTGCAGTTGGAAATAAATATTTTATTCAGCAAAGGCATGTTGTATCGTTCAAAAGTCCCAGTAAAGACAGTATTTACAATATTTATAATTTTACCAAAGATTTATATTTAAAATATATGCTGTTCTTTGGAACTTGCTACTCATCAAAAAATCCTAAAAAAAAAAATGAATCTGCATTGTTTAGGTCTTGGAACATCTAAGAAGTGGAGTAATGCTGCTGAAAATTCAGCTTTGCCATCACAGGAATGGATTACATTTTAAAATATATATTTAAATAGAAAACAGTCATTTTAAATTATAATATTTCACAGTAATACTGTTTTTACATGTTTGATCAAATAAACGCAGCCTTGGTAAGCAGAACAGACTTCTTAAAAAAAATAATAATAATAAAAAATGTAATTATTTAACAATAGAGAAAAGAAAGGTGTTCATCAGTACTGACCTGGGATCATCTTGATGGCTGTGCTGACCTCTTTCCAGTTCTGTGCGTGCTCAAACTTCCAATCCAGGATGAAGTTACTGTTATCAGTAACCACTGGACCCTAAAGTTAAATATCGTAAAGAAAAAAATCAGATGACTGGACCATCAATTTCATAGAAGCCCACTACTTTCCAAGCTTAAAGGGGACATATGATGTTACTAAAAAGAACATTATTTTGTGTATTTGGTGTAATGAAATGTGTTTATGTGGTTTAAGGTTGAAAAGACACATTCTTTTCAGGAAAACTTGAAATCGCATCATATGACCCCTTTAATGAGATGATTACGAGGAAGTGCAAGGAAGGGAGAAGTCGAGATAGGGAGAATGTCAAAAAATATTATTATTATATTATATTATTATAATACCCCAAATAACACCAAAAAGTGCAGAAAAGACAAATGTAATGAGTTATTTTCTATAATAAATCAAGCACTTTTAGTTGATACGGTTATTCAAATAAAACCAAATAAAAAGGAGTTCATATTTTAGGGCAGGACATTGTAATTTTTTACGAATAATATAATTAAGTAAAAAAAAAACGTAAATAATACAACTGTAATTCAAGATCCATTAGTAAGACTCTCTTACAGCTTTACTGACTGCCATCCTCAGCACAGCCTCTCCTCCAAAGCGCCGGGCAATGGCTCTGGACACAGGCACATACGCCATGGGAATGACCTCCACCGGCACACCTTTCTTCCACTGCTGCCCCAGGTCCTTCGAGTCCTTCCTACCCACACAAGCAATAAAAATGACATCATACAAACACTTCTGAACTTCTAGTGGAAGACTCTCTCATATAATTATAGCGATCACACACTGGGCAGTGATCAGCAGTATGATCAACAGTAATTATGGGTTGCTAAATATATACCAAATATTGTAGTTCAAACAATAGCGCCCAGTGCTAGCAATGCAGTGGGTTGCTTTCCCGGGAATGAAATGAAGTCACTTTGGATAATAAGATCTGCTAGACACCACATGCATACCTATAGTCTGCGATGACAATGAAGTGTTTGGCACAGCCAGCCACAATCTTCTCCTGGGTTAAGCATCCTCTATTTTGAGGGAGGAAAAGAAAAGGACGTGACACTAGACCTGATGACACCTCGGGGTTTCACACAAATGAAAATGAAGAGAAACAGAAAAAATACTTGAATTAAACAGATTTTCCAATCATACCCTCCTCCTTTTATCAGTGTCAAAGCAGCATCAACCTCATCGGCTCCATCAATCGCTACATCCAGCTAAAAGACAAAAAAAAAAAAAAAAAACTCAAAAATTCACATTTTTATTTGTGTTAAAAAGTGTACTCAGGTGATAAATTAAACCAGTCATAGTAAAGTTCTCTGGCAAAAAGCGGTTACTTGATATTTCAGCCCAACTACATTTTATCAAAAGTCAAATCATCCATTTAGTTGGCCTGTCCAACATAGCATTGTTTTACTAAATCTGTCCATTCTATAGTGTTATTTGAGCTGTTAAGTTGTCTAAATCATCTTTTTTACTCTTCTATTGTCTTCCTTCCCATTCCAGCTGCCCATCCTCATGCAGTCTCAGCCCAAACTCACCTCAGGATGTCTGTCTAAATCAGACAGAGTGAGACCATGCTGTAGAATCAGCTGACGGGCCTGGATCAACACATTTCAAATCAGTTAAAAACACAGGTGTTATCTAGTGTCATAGCTCCAAATGAAGTTTTGTACTGACCTGGAAAGACGTAGGAACACACACAATATTCAGCTTCTCTTGTCTGACCCTCTCAGCTAGAAAGAAAACATCATCCTTTAGCAATTATCGTGGTTGAGAGTTTGAAGCATGAGTGGATAATATTAGATGAAATGTCTTACTCAGCCTGTCCACAGCATAGACAATAGTTGAGCCACTGCCCACTCCAACTACCTGATTATTCTGAAAGAAAAATGAAAAGTCAAATTTTATATAATTATAAGTACAACCAAATATAAGCATAACCAAACAAAACAGTCACACATTAGGGAAACACAACACTGATAGTAAGGTCTGAATTCATTATTTCTTTCTACAAAGGGTCAGTAAAGGAGGTCTTTAACCTTCAAGTTTATTTATCATGTGTACAATGTCAGTGACAATTTGCACATTGAAATGCTTAGGTTGAGGCTCCTGCATTCTACCTTAGTGCAATACAATATAAGTGCATAATACAAACCCCCCCCCAAAAAAATGTTTAAAGTCTTAAAGTATCTGCAGTCTGTTTTTTAAAGTGCAAATGATCTTTGTAAAGAAAAAAAGGTCCTCGTGAGGTATATGTGTTGTATACATATTTGTAAGGAGTGTAGTGAGCATTACAGAGTGCTTAGAGTTCTGATGGCCTGTAGGTAAAAGCTGTTCCTCAATCTGCTGGTTCTGGATTGTATACTCCTGTACCGCCTGCCTGAAGGCAGTTTGATAAACAGGTTGAGTGCTGAAATATTTCTGGAGCTGAAATAGTACAGCATGGCGCTAGAAACAAAAAGCTCATGGGTTCGATTTCTAGAGAATGCCCATAAAATGTAACCAAACCAAGTTTATTGGAGCAGTTTTATTTTAAGTTCATTTTCAATGAGGTATATAATTTAC